TGGACGATTTATTGCAGCCGCTCTGGAGTACACAGCGGATCTGTCGTTGAATGCAGCCGATTATCGCGGCATGTTACTGGGTTTCGATCTGCTAGACGACCAGACTAGGCGACGAGTCATTATATATGGTGACTCAAACATAGTGATCCGGAAAATGCGGGGTGAGATGGATTTTAAAGCGCCCGGGTTACAGATGTTGCGTCACAAGGCAATGCAGAAAATTCAATCATGGCCGAAGCACGAGTTCCTACATATGAAGCGAGGATGAATCTGACTGCGGATAGACTAGCCAGCACAGCCTTGCAGAACGAAAAAGGAATAACTGTGATGCCTGAAGAAGATCGGCGATATCTGATTACGTTGAAACGTTTAGGTGAACTGTTGCTACCTAAGCCGGACGATCCAATTGCTTGAATAACCGCAATCATGAGATTGACCAGAAAGAGACACCCTCAAGCTGAAGTGTTACAAGAAGAGATGGTGCAGAAGATGAGGATTCGGCGAATTGGTCAGGCTCAGGACGATGAACTTGGGATCGTCAATCTGAAGATATACCTGAAAGAGGATGTATCCGGTCCGGACGCAGGAGAAGCAAAGATGTGTGCAAAATTAGTGCCCGAGTGTTAGATTGATCAGAACGACCTGTTGTTTTTCTGCCCTAGAGCGAAGAGAGAATCAGAAGATCGAGATGGTCTAATGCGTCTGGTGATCCCAGAGACGTTGCAACAAGACTTTTTGCACCATTGCCACGCTAGTCTGGAAGGAGGCCACCAAGGTATTGGCAGGAAATATCAGAGGAACAGATCGAGATTACATTGGAGGGGGTTAATCCGGAGTGTGCAACGATATGTTGGCGAATGCACCGATTGCAAAACGGGAAAGGGATGTCCGACAATTCAGGAAAGATAGCCGGGTAACCGACAAGCAGCTTATCCATTCCAGGTTATTGCTATGTACCAAATACCATCTTTGTACAAGTCCTTTCAAAGGACATATAGAGTTTCTGGTTTGGGTGGACCTTTTTCCGGGATATGTGATCGCGAAAGCTAGCTCGTCACGAACAGCACAAACGATTGCAGAAAATTAGGAAGAATGTGTGTTCCGGCATTTTGGCGCCAGTGAGGCGATCAGGCAGATCGAGGAGAACCTGGATTTGTGTCCGAATTTTTTCGAGCTGTCTTTCGGATTGTGGGACAAAGATAACGTGCTACATTTGCTTATAGTCCACATGCAAACGGAACGGCCGAACGGATGGTAAAAACTATGACGCGGTCGCTCAAGATGCCTGTTGCTGATGTCATCCAACAGGACTGGGATGAGTATGCTGAACGGCTCACGGTTGCGATTAATACTGCACAAGGTCGGACCCGGGTAATACTCCATTCTATCTGATCCATGGGTGGGATCCGCAATCTACGTTAGAGGCTAAGTTATCAGTAGGGAATACGAGAACTCGAGATCGCGATCCGAAGAGATGTAGATATCGAATCCAGAGACAGTATCAGCGAGCTCGGGCTGTGGTGAATGATAGATTACGAGCTGCAATCCAGGCAAGATCGGATCAACACAACGAATATCTCGAACTACATGAAACCGAAGTGGGTACACAAGTTTGGCTATACTTAGATCGAGTCAAAGAAGGATGTGCGAAGAAGCTAGCACATGTGTGGCATGGTCCGTTTCGAGTCGCGGATACATGTGGAGATCACGATGTGAGAATTGAGATCGCAGTCACTCCATATTGACTATTTCCATTTGTACATCTGTCGAAGCTGAAACGAATAAAGATGGTCCCCGAGCGGGCCAAAGACCTGCTTACGAAGAACGAAGCAGATCGCTTGGATTTTGATGGGGATCTGCTGCTAAAAGATAGTTGGGAAGGCGATCTTGATTAGGGAGAATATGAAGTGGAGGAAATAATGGACATGCGATCCGATCGGAAAAACCGTTATGGGCGAGTACATCGACAGTACTTGGTGAAGTGGAAAGGTTCTCCCGATCTGAGTTGAATGGATAAGGCCAATCTAAGTTGTGGGGAAATTTTGCAAGAGTTTAGGCGAAACCGAGTGAATCGTAACCGTTATGTAGTAATGCAGTCACACGAAGACAGATCAGACGAACCCTTACGGTCTGGGTGGATATGCTGGGAGGCAGCATGTGCCAATGGGTGAGGTTGAAGATGTGCTAGGAGGTAGCATATGGGTTGAATGGTTGTACGTGCAAGGAAGTTGCACGAGATGGTGGTACTGGCGCTATATGTGAAGTATGTGGCGATAGCAGATCGAAAGGGTCCGATAGCGGTCGAAAAGCCGAGAAAAGGGGTTAATATCAAGATAAAACATAAAATGAACGATCATAGGAAATCAGATTGAATTAGGAAATTATGTGATTCAAATTATAGCGTTCACGCGGTAAAGAACTTGCCAGGCAGACGTGTGATCGACGATCCGGGGTGGTCGGCGATAGAGGATCGAAACTGTATACGCCAAGGCTCAGCTACATCCAACTGCGGCAGAGCCAATATCAAGTTGGAAATTTTCTTCTGTCTACATCCCAAGCAGGGATACGTGGGGGTTACTTCCAGGTGGGACTGGAATGCAGGAAGAATGGGTCCAACAGAATGTCCAGATCGCAGTGACCTGCGATCATACCCTTCAAGATGAATCGAAGGATCGCCTTCCACCGGGGCCCAGCTCGCGATCAACGTTGTTTCCACTGTTTCCAGATTGTATCCAGCTCAGGATCGCTGACTTGCTGTTCGCCGGAAAGGAAGATGGCATGCGTCGATTCCCACAACGCGTGTCGGTTTCGATCCTCGAATTACAAATACAGAGTGGCAAGTTAGTCGAAGCATCCTGTACGAGGGTGGTTTGCCAAGGCTCTTGGGCGTACAAGGCCGTGATCTGGGCAGAACACGTCAGCCGAGATGTCCACTCGGATGTGGAAGGAGAGTTCTTGGGCACAAGTACCATAGGGAAGATATACCCTTTAAGACGTTAGAGTAGGCGGTACAAGAAACCAACGTCCAGCTTCGCGACACTTGTCCAAATGACTCTGCGCGCTGACCAAGGAGAAACGTGAGCTGAGGACCGTGGTACGCAATCTCTGTATCCGGTTATCCACTAGTCACGAGAGGTGTTAGTGGAGGCACACCACCGTAATACGCAAGATGTAATAACGGGTTTACCGACGCACGAGGCGCATCGTCGAGGCTGATCGCACCTTCTGAATCGCTCGAAGTATCCCCGAAGAGATCCACGCGGGACAGTTTGGCACAGAGGCGCGAGTAGGTCCAGCCGGAGACGGGGAATTAAGCGAAAGACTAGGCGTATCCACGACAATGGGAGTTTGGGACTACCCAGCCGAGAAGGGCGATGTCGGACCAGATGCTCGACGACGTGTTAAAGACCGATATCCCGACAAAGCCTCCAGCGTTGACTCCTCGCTTGCCGATGTCCTTTCCCCCTCCGATGACAATAGGAGTGGACCACGACGACTCTGCTTACCCGATTACCGGGTAGCAGCACGCCAATGATAGTCGCAAGAACCCTTTGGATCGCGAGGTACCTTCAGATCGCTAGCGACTTTGGTATCAGAAGAATCATTGGTAGCAGAACTTTTACGGATTGGTGATCGCTTATTTCTTGAGACGATCCCGACTCTCCACTGGCACCCAGACGACCGACTAACAAAGGGGTACTCCGATTCAGTGAATATTGCTTTCCTCACCTTGTGTACCCGTCGATAGGGCGGGTTGCACTCTTCCAGGTGGACTTGTGTCGAAGGAAAACTTGACCGTGTCGGGGATGGGTTTGTGTGATCGGACGGAAATTTTCGCGCGATCACTGAGGTATCGGTGGGGTACTGATATAAGTTAACCTGATCTCAACGAGATCGCCTTGCCCACTGTGTGGGTTCTTGATACGCGAGCCTTCTGACCACTTGAGCCGTCTCGCGATCTTGTGCCTTGCCTTTACGTGTCTTGTTGCGTCCGATCGCAGTTGCAGTTACCTGAGAATTCTTGAACGCACCTGGCCAAACAATCCAGGTGCGACACTTATTTGGACGGGTAACGCGACTCTTCATTCATCGGGAGGCCAAAAATCTTGCCCGGAAGAGATTGCGTGCGTCTTCGAAGTAAATTGAATTCTCTTTAAAGCTAACCAATCAACCCAAAACCTACCCCTGTGCCTTAACCGCACATCCTAACCGGATGCCACGCGTCCCTGTTTCAGGGAGATCGTCCTCTCGTATCGGTGTGGCCCACAGCAGTTGTATCGACAGTCTAATCTTCTTGTGGTCCGCCCGAAAAATCAGCACCACTTTACCTCAGATCCTGATCCCAGGTCCGGATAGCGATCCAGGGTCCGGATCGTGATCTTGGGTCCGGATCGTAGTTCTAGGTCCGGGTCGTGATCTTAAGTCAGGATCATGATCCTGGCTTAGGATCATGATCCCTAGGTGAATGATCACGAATCTTTCCTTGCCCTGTCTCACGATGAATCACGCAATCCAACTGGTACCACTGTCATCTAGCCTTGTCCCAAGTAATTTTGATCCTGCTTACTGGGGTTAGGTGCGATATTGCTAGCCACCCGTCCCAGTTTGTGTCCTTAAATCACAACGCTTTATACCGAGCTATGGTGTGTGATCCGCACAGTCCTCCACTCCAACTAAACGGTAAATTTACTTGTCATCGCTTTGCCACAGAACCATTGGGACTGCGAGTACATTTGAGGGAAGAAGAATCCCTCAAAGTGCGAACACCTTAAGAATCGCGACACGGGAAGGCTTGGATTTATACTTTGCAGATCAGCTCGCCCTTTTGGGTAGCGGCAAGGCGGACGATGGTGGAACATTGCGAGGTCGCTTGCGGCTGGTTCCGGAGGCATATGATGCCGTGTGGTGCTTTGCGTAAGGGATGGGATTATATGACCCAACCGTCACAGGCGCAGCGGAAGTATCCCCAGTCACCAGCAAGGCCACGCGATCCCGAGGGGTTACGTAATCTTATACGGTGCGCTGCAACTGATCACATTCATCTGATCGGACAGATAGAGAGCCCCCCCCCGCTTCGCTAATTTAACCTGGAGCCCCGCCACCTGCTTAAGCGCCCGACTAAGCTTCGATTGGATGTGGATGCAGCTTACCTTATACTGCGATTTGCGGTTCTTGGCCTTGCGAAGGCTGTCGGACAGCCGATCACATTCCGTTACCAACCGATTCCCCGCGTCATCCATCTGCTTGCGGATCCCGACAATCTCGCGATCGGCTTTTGCCTGTGCGGCATGACGTGCCCGCACAGTACGGAGAACCCCTGCTTTCAAATGCGCGATCGTGGCAACCTGATCGACCCGGTCGACTAACGCCTCCCGGAAGGCGTCAGACCGCTGGACCTCCTCGTCGTATCGGACTCGCATACGATCATACTTGGATTGTACGAACTCCACGAAATGAATAGCCGAAGAATGAAGCTCATGAATATTCTCACTCGGCTGACGATTCTGGGCCATCTGCTGCACCAAGGCAGACTCCGTACTTTAATTTTGATCCAGGAAAGTTTTCTGGAGGTCCCGACGATGGAAGACCGAGTCGATAGCGGCTTCCAGTGTCGCTCGATCAACCAAGCTTGACGCTTCCATCCCGGTTCTCTAAAGCAAGATAGGATCACTCGGATCTGAGGCTGGAACGTTTTTGCTGACCGGGGACACGTCCGGAGTGAGGATCGGAGGAGTCCCCGAAGGAATCGAAGGTGAGATCCCACCAGAGTCCCCTCCCATGTGGGCCAAGTCGCCACTTCCAAGCTATCATACTCGGTCTACGGTTAATTAGAGGCATCCGTGACCGCAGGACTAGCAGGCATCAAAGTTGGGGGATCCGAGGTTAGGACCGTGGGCGGTGATCCGAGATACCTCTACCCTAAGTTTGGCGAAGGAACATGATTCGACGAGATGTGGCCAGCCATCGGGACTGCGGACTTTAAAATGGAGACAGTTAGGACAATTCACAAGGTTGCAAATCCAGATCAGCACCGTATGTTATCTAACAGTGCAGGGGACGGTTGTGGCAAAGCGATGACAAGTAAATTTACCGTTTAGTTGGAGTGGAGGACTGTGCGGATCACACACCATAGCTCGGTATAAAGCGTTGTGATTTAAGGACACAAACTGGGACGGGTGGCTAGCAATATCGCACCTAACCCCAGTAAGCAGGATCGAAATTACTTGGGACAAGGCTAGATGACAGTGGTACCAGTTGGATTGCGTGATTCATCGTGAGACAGGGCAAGGAAAGATTCGTGATCATTCACCTAGGGATCATGATCCTAAGCCAGGATCATGATCCTGACTTAAGATCACGATCCGGACCTAGAACTACGATCCGGACCCAAGATCACGATCCGGACCCTGGATCGCTATCCGGACCTGGGATCAGGATCTGAGGTAAAGTGGTGCTGATTTTTCGGGCGGACCACAAGAAGATTAGACTGTCGATACAACTGCTGTGGGCCACACCGATACGAGAGGACGATCTCCCTGAAACAGGGACGCGTGGCATCCGGTTAGGATGTGCGGTTAAGGCACAGGGGTAGGTTTTGGGTTGATTGGTTAGCTTTAAAGAGAATTCAATTTACTTCGAAGACGCACGCAATCTCTTCCGGGCAAGATTTTTGGCCTCCCGATGAATGAAGAGTCGCGTTACCCGTCCAAATAAGTGTCGCACCTGGATTGTTTGGCCAGGTGCGTTCAAGAATTCTCAGGTAACTGCAACTGCGATCGGACGCAACAAGACACGTAAAGGCAAGGCACAAGATCGCGAGACGGCTCAAGTGGTCAGAAGGCTCGCGTATCAAGAACCCACACAGTGGGCAAGGCGATCTCGTTGAGATCAGGTTAACTTATATCAGTACCCCACCGATACCTCAGTGATCGCGCGAAAATTTCCGTCCGATCACACAAACCCATCCCCGACACGGTCAAGTTTTCCTTCGACACAAGTCCACCTGGAAGAGTGCAACCCGCCCTATCGACGGGTACACAAGGTGAGGAAAGCAATATACACGGAATCGGAGTACCCCTTTGTTAGTCGGTCGTCTGGGCACCAGTGGAGAGCCGGGATCGTCTCAAGAAATGAGCGATCACCACTCCACCACAGTAGCTGACGTTTTAATGAAAGCGCTATTTTCGCACAAGCTGGACAGTCTGCGCGCTCTTGTGAACCTACATTAACCACAACACGGCCGAGAAGGAGTGTTAAAAAATAGGTTTATGTGGCTTACATGAAATTGGAGGAGTTTCGGTGATGGGCGACTGTTCGGGGCAACGGCGTCAGTGAAACGACCGCGCTGTGATTGACATGATCACGGTATAAGGAGGCGTTGGGATACAATATGAGAAATAACTAATAGTTTCATATTTGCACTCAAAGAACGCGGTTGGTTTGTTGACAAAAATTTTTATACCGTCATTGCACGCGCACCTTGATTAAGGATAACGAGCATTTGCGTTGTGTACTGATTTATCACTTTAATATTTTCATTTTAGCTGTCGAGAGAAAAGCACTTTGTTAAATAACAATTCTCACCGCCCTTGCGACCTAAATGCTTTGTTTAAAAATACTACACGATCTCCTTCATTTTATTCAATAATCTACGAACGGTCATGGCGGACGAATTAACGATCAAAGTCGTCAGTAGCACGTCCGAGAGTCTACTAGTTCGCCTCGACCTAGCCTCGGCCTCCGTGCTGTCCCTCAAGCAGTTTATTGAACATCAGGATGCACATCGGTTCCCAGTGGCCGCTCAGCGTCTGATTTTCCAGGGCCAGATCCTGCAGGACGCCAAGTCCCTGACCGAGTACCACGTGACTACCGGCTGCGCTCTCCACTTGACGCTATCGCCCAATGGCACGGCGACAGCCACTGCTGCTGAAACATTTCCACCACATTCCCAGCTGACGACGTTTCTGCAGCAAATGAGAGACGGCGAGTCAAGTGACGCTTACGCGTTGGCCGTGCGGACCTTGCAGAAGATTTGCGTAAACATTGTGGACCACCCGACTGAAGACAAGTACCGGAAGCTGCGGGTGGATAATGCCGCGCTCAAGGAAAAGCTATTTGACCGGACGCGTGGACGGGACAGTGTTCACTTGCTAGGGTTTCAGGACGGAGTGCTGGCGGTGAGAAGGAAAAAGGAGAACAGATGTCGAGCGAGAGCAAGAGCTGATATATGTGAGTTGGTGTGTGCTGTTTCCATGCTGTTGTAGGGACACTTGGTGCTTGTGCCGACGCCAGAGAAGTGGGAGAACTTGATGGCGTGCAAGAACGTGTTGGATTCCGTGGCCACGACGCTGGCGGGAAACGCCACACCATTTTTTGCCTCAGGTGGCGGTGCGACTACCTTAACGAGTGGCGGGGGAGACTTTGCATCTCAAGCACAGTCGTTGCTGCAGAACCCAACGATGCTGCATTCTATGGCGAGCAACCCCTTGATGCGGCAATTGAGTCAACACAACCCTATTCTGACCCAGGCTTTGCAGAATCCGGCGTTGCTGGCGCAGTCCATGCAGGCTCTGCAGCAGAACCCAGCAATGATGCAACAGATCAGCCAGATGGTGAGTGATCCGAATGCAATGGCGCGCATGCAGCAGATGATGGGAGGAGGCGGCATGGGCGGACTCGGCAGCGTCGGTAGCTTTGCATCCAGCGGACCGGCATCGTTATCCGCTGCTGCCAGTCCTAGCAACACGGACCCGTTTGCAAGCGTCACTCCCACAACGCCATCAGCAGCTTCGATGCTGTCTTTAACGCCAAGAGATGTCACCGTCTCGTCATCGACGCCACCAGCGCCTGCAGGTGACGACACATACGATGAGGATGAGATTGCCAATGCCATTGCCCGCTCGTTGCAAGATCAGTAAGAAGAGAGCAGCTATGTGTCACATGGTGGTACACAGTCGAGTCTGAAGTAGCGATTCCAAACGCACTTGCTGACGCCCCAGTGTCGCAGATGCCGGGACGGTCTCACATAATCGATAAAATTCGGGTGCTGTTGTCTCCGAGTGGTCGAGAGATCATTGGCTAGAAATCGACTATTGACCAATCGTAGCGCCTGTCCAGCCACCTCGTTTTGTTGGCGCACAGTTTTCCATTGTCGCTGTGCTGCGCGTCGCTCTCTTTGCCCCGACTCAGTCCGTCCCCGCCAGCGCTCGTGTACGAAGCACGTCATCACACATCCTCGATTGCGTCTTCCGTACTTGGTTGCGCTCTGTTTGAACTCTCAAGACGCTGCGCCACGTCTTTCGTTTTGACGATCCGACCCCTATTTCTATCACACGTCTAAAAGTCTCTTCGAGCAATGGCTAGCGAGCAACAGCAGCAGATGCCGACCGACTCTGCACCTGGAGCAATGACTGGCTCTCTTCTGCACCATGGAGGTGTCTCCAGTGGTAGCAACAGCGGCAGCAGCCACGGACAGGGATTCGCGCCGCTGGCCTTTGACGAGAGTCTCGTGACTGCAATGACGACAGGATCGACTGACGCGGTGACAGCCACGAACACCAAATCAGCAGCCGATTTCTTTCTGGATCAGATTTCGGCTGTGGTGTCGGACGAGAAGAAGCTCTCGGATGTGCGTGGCCTGATGCACTCGAATAAAAGTGGCAGCTTGAATTAGTGGCAGCTGCTGTCGATAAGCAGTTATAACTCACTGTTTATGTGACTACTGTTGTTTGTGTCTGGCAGAATATCATGGACCTGATCCCGCCTGTAGAAGCACCGGTAAGTCAGGCATCAGGTACAAGGTTAGAGGGCTCAAACACAGGTGTGACGTCCTCGATCAACGTTCCATTGCAGCCACCACCTGGGCTGATGATGCGTGCGTTGTCGCCACCGACGTCGCTCTTGCCGGATTTTGGCGATGTGACGTCTTTGTCACTGCTTGGAGATGGCATGGTGACAGGGACGGCGACAGGCTTGGGTGCGTTTGCTCCACCAACGACGACGACAGTAACAGCAGCGTTGAAACGAGAGCTTCCGGTTGTACGGCCGGTAGTCTCAGGTACAACTACAGCTATGACGAGACAAATAGACCTCATGAATGCAGTGCACAAGAAACAAAAAACAGAGAACCTGCAGTCTGATGCTGTTGCGAAAGGTGCAGTATCTGCACCGCCCGCAGTCGGTAACCAGGTTCAGCAGCTGCAGCAAGCTAGACACCATCACCATAATAACGGCAATGAGTTGGGTGTGTCTGTCGCTGCTGGAGTAGCACGCGAGAAAGTCATGAAAGAGCCACAGTCTGGCGATCTCTACGAGTGTGTGATTACTAAACGTAATGGGGGACTTGGACTCACACTAGCATGCGTGGATGACCACGTCCAAATTACAGGACTTGCTCCAGATACACCTGCTGCCAGCAGCGGTATCTGTGTTGGTGACACTTTGGTAGCTGTTTCGGGGCTACCCGTGCGCGGGCTGCAATTTTCGACAGTAATCGGCCGCCTTAAATCTACGTCGCGCAATTCGGTTGTTCTCAAACTTCGCCGAAATCCATGTACGTGGCATATTGATGAATTGCCTAACAAGCGCTAACTTACATTTCTCGTTATGTAGTTCGGCAAAATGCCGGTGGCTCGGCATCATATCGTGGAATGAAACGCCCAAATCGAGGGGTCATCAGGGGACCCGATAGCAGTAACAGTGCCAATGTTCTCTCAAGCAAGACGATGGCGCTGGAGACACGAATAGGCGGTGGTCAAGGCAATGGTCTGAATGGTTCCCCTGGAAGTTCGGGCGGCGTGTTTAACAGCGGGACCACTAGTGCTGGCCTAGATGACCTGCACCGCTCCCATCACCAAGGACTTACTGGCTTTGCAAATCATACCGCAGGTACTCGCCATGCGCAGCATCAGCAGCTCAAGTCGGAGCCTATGAACTCGACGTATTTCCCCACCGATGCTTCCGTTCTAACAATGGGAGCGACAGCTAGTAATGGCTCAAGCGCTATGTCACCCAGTGCAGTTGCGCCATCTTCAGTTCTCAGCGATTCGCAGGCTGGGCGTAGGGTCAGTGTTGAGGAGAAGGATCGCTACTACGCTGAGTGCCGGTCTCTTCGACACGAACTGGGCAGAGTTATGGTTGCACAACGATGTCAAAAGCGCGATACGGGTATCTATACTTCTCAGTTACAGGCGGTCGTGGACAAGTTTAAAGAGCAAGTACGGTCGCTGGGATTGACGTCGTCCGCTGCAGTATCAACCAATTCATCACCTACTGAACCATCCAATACTGTTGAAGAAGTTACCGCTTTACGTCTTAAGCTGGTGGAAGCAAATCAGGCCTTAGCTAAAAGACACGCTGAAATACTGATGCTTCAAGATCGGGAAGCACGACATGCACTTCCGGAATCCCAGCGGTTACGGTCGCAAGTTGTGATGAACATGCGAAAAAGTGTGCTACAAATTGACTGTAAAGCAGCTTCTAAGTTGTCTTCCACACCGTCCGTGAAGACGGTTGGCGTATCTGCCGAACCGATATTGAGTTTTGAGGAGCGATTTGAAGGTGTCCGGCCCAGTGCTTTTGCGCTACTGGTTGGACAGAGCGAAGTAACGCCTGCTTTACCTATTGTTGAGCTTGAGCTTGATGTGAAGACTTGCACGGAGGTAAGTGCTTGTGGTGTACTTCTTGGTTGCATCTTTAGGTGGTTGAACGACGGTCTAATGGCTTGGTGGCATGTTGCGGCGTACTTGAAACAGTTTTTAGGCTGGAATTTGCGCGAAGTGGTGATCCAAGCAGCGGGAACATACACTGTGAGTGTGGCTGACAGTGTTCACGTGAGGTATTTGCGAACTGAAGAGGCTCTGGTCGTCGCGTGGACGCTGTGCGTAAAAGACCATTGTAGTAGTCGGAAATAGTGGTTTGACGTTGACAACATTGCGCAATTGCACACAGTATCGCAGATGGCGCGGACTGACGTAAGGCATGGCAGACCAAGTGGGCGAAAGCTCAATCAAAAATATAGGAACGAAGTAGCCAGTGTCGCACACGGGCGCCAAGCGTTGTATTCGGAATTTTCTATTTGCAAAGGGGATGGACAAGGGATGAATTATGGCACGAACCCTTAGGTGGCTATCGATACAGATGAAAGTGGGCGCGCTGGCGCTTGCAGGAATGGCACGTCCGTCGCGCGTTCATTCACGATCGACATTATATGCTCAACAGCTTCGTCATCAGTTCCAGCGCCTCGCGCAGGTAGGCTTCCGCCCGGTCCAGACTTGCTTGTCTGGTGTACAGCGCCGTCCATAAGCAGCACATACGCCCGCACAAGCTGCTGGCGAATGTATTTGTCACGCGATCCCTTCAGAACGTGCGCCACGTCGTAGCTCACTTCGAATGGATCTTCGATACTCAGCCGCGTCGTGAACCGCCACTGCGAAGTTTGCCGCTTTTCTTCTTTGCTAACAAGGCCAGCATCTGGACGACGAACGCTCACGACATTGCGGGTGGCATCAAACTGCAAACCGTAGTAGCGCAGGAAACCAAGCAGCAGCTCACCTACAGTTTGTGTGTTGCGTGCGCAGTATTCACGTAGTAAGGCTATTTTTTCGTTCGGCTCACGGAACGCAAACGGGTCGTAGAAATACGTCTCGATACCATTGTGGCCGTCAGTGTCGTTGCCTGCTCCGGGGTCCAACTCCTCACTAGGACCACGGCACAGCACGCTTGGCAACTGTTCACAAGGATGATCGGGCCAGTTTGGAGGCAGAGCCTGTAGCACCGGCAGTACAGGTGGATCCTGGCGCTGGAGAAAGTGGATGAGCAAAAGCAGGTAGCCGTACGATGAAAGCGTGCCCTCGGCGGCACAGTTCATACGCCGTTGTTTTACAAAGCGCTTTATGACATAAGCCAGCATACGCATGCGTGGATCAGCATTCGCGTATGCACGGAGAAGGGCAGTGTTGCGCTGTGCCAGTCGGTTTTCGACGCACAAGTCACACTCAATGCCCACAGTGCGTGAAACAAACATTATGATCGGGATGCGCGCTGTCAGGCGCGTCGTATCCACCGACGCGAACAAGTCCGGACGCGACTCAAGTCGAGCAACCACTTCAAGCAGCATCTGTTGCTTCTCCTCTACAGTTGGGCTGCCCAACTCGGGCAACACGAGGCACATGTCCATATCACTTTGCTCATTGCCAAACTCGTTAGCCGACGATCCGAACACATCCAGTTCACATGCAAACGATAGCTTAGATATAACCTCAGCATCCAGTTGGTCATATATTGGTTGGCGCGACGCGCGAAAAGCAGCGCTATCCGGCATCAGCACGGCTGCCTCCCTTTCTACCCACTGAGTCAAAGCACGTGTCACAAATGGAGCGGTGTGCAACATCTCATCTTCGCCGCCACAATCTAGCCCTGAAAATGCGATGCTTATCGGTGCAAACCCAAAGTGCTCCAGCCAAAAAGCGCAACGATCCTCGTTGTTTTCGAAGTATAGCCCACTAACTTGGCAAAAGCGGTCACGCTGAATGCGAGCGATGTCAGCAAGCTGGTTATTTGCCACGAGCTCTCTTACGTACTTATTAGCCTCAATTGAATTAAAAACGTTGCGCAGCGTGCCGTGAAAAGTCTCCACAGGAAACGGAATCGTCTCAGTGGCTTTGAAAGACATTTCGATCTCGTCAGCACTACGCTCAAGTAAGCGTAGAAAAGCCTCCAGCAAATCACCCAGCAGAGTATGGCCGTGAAGAAAAATAGTTTCCACTTGGTCCACAAGTCGCATAAGCGCAAGAAGGGCACTCAAGACAAGGCCAGCGTCACCGTCGACGACACCTTGCTGAAACTTGTCGTGCGTCGCACGTAGTGTATCGATGAAGTGACTGTACTCTAAGCAAACCTTCAACCGATTGCTGCGCGCAATAATCACGTTCGAGTACGACACCTTGTCGTGGTGATTATTACCACCGTGATGATCACCATTCGTGTGCCCTTGGCGACGGCCATTAGGCGGATGACCTTGGCCGCTTTTGTCTTCGAAGACACGGAATTCAAACTCGCCTGGAGAGCGTGGGGCGCGGAACGTGATACGCGTATTCAAATAACGATAATTTCGGTGCAGTTTGTTCTCAAACAAAACCTGCTTCACAAAAATTGGCTTGTCGTTCGTAGGTTGTCCGAGACGGAAAAGCCCTACAAGAAGCACTCTCCGGGCAATACACTCTTCTGCCAAAAGCGCAACTTGTACCTTGATATCGTCGTTGGGCTTAGTTTCCTCTGGAGATACATGAATCGAATTACCCTGGCCTGCCGCCAGTTGCAAAGGGGCCGATTTCTCCCGATAAAGCTGGGGCGACATTGCTTGTGAACGGCGCGTACGCGATGGGGTCGAGCTTCTAGAATGAGAGACTCTGGAAGGCGATGAAATCGCAGGTGCGGGGCATCCACGATCGGCTCTGTTCTTCGGACTAGACGTTGGATAACTTGACACCCCACTTAATGCTGGCGACTGCATCCTGCCAGCAGCCATTGTTGCCATATCCGGTGCTGGATACAATTCTCGTCGTCCAAATCCAGGATCGCTTCTGCCACTGTTGAGCATTCTCAACAAGTCATGACCTGACTGTGCCAATGGCTGGTGTTGATTAAAATGTAGCGACTGCGATAGCACCCGATCATGATCGGGAGGCTTTGGGTCTTGATACAGAGCAGCCATTTGAGCATTCATTTGATCACGGAGCGAAGCCGTCGAGTGACTTGCAGCTCCGGGCCTTTTCAAAGCTCCGCGTCCCGGATCGTTCTGCATCTGCATTCCTTCACCTAAGTTTAAGTTAAGCATTGCATCCGAGAGGTTTACGCCTCCTCGATTACCATCGCCTATTACTGTCGTTGCAGCTCCAGTGCCCCATTGCCGTTCATCTTTGAATTGCACAGACGGCACAAGGTCGCGTCCAAGTTGCTGTCCGTCAAGTTCCAGACTTCCCCAAGATGCCAAGGACGATTGACTTGTGCCTTGAGTTGGATACATCAGCGTCTGCTGCTGGTAAAGTTGCTGTCCCTGCTGGGAATGATAGAGCGCGTCTTCCCTTTCCAGTGTGGGCCAAAGATGAGACAACGACGACGGCAGAGGCGGAGGCTGCTGTTGTTCCTGAAAGGATAAGTTTGCGTTAAAGTCCATTGCATTGCCACTGAAAGGCGATGAAAGGGATGACGCCAGGCCTCCATCACTTCGAACTTGTTTTCGGCGTCCTCGTCCTATCTCGTGTGTGTCACTTCGCTGCGCTTGTCGGGTCTCAAAAAGGTGGAAGTCGGTTGTGTCGGACTGAAAGTGCCCGTCACGACGAGTCGGCGACCGCGGTAACTGAGGCCAATCAGCCATTGAGAACAAGGAATGAAACAGAAGGGACGGGGCACGGGATACTTGACAAGGCTGACCGAATTTAAAAGCGCGTGAAGTGCGGAACTGGGTGCGTGGGCTGCTCAATAGTTCTTGCGTATGGTCACAGTAGAGGCAGCAAAGGAAGTAGGAGGAAGAAGTCGTTACGCCAAGAAAGTGGGGACGGCTGACGTGCAGAACGGCGGATACGAGGCGACAGGGGGTTGTGTGCCCCACACGAATTTAGTGACGCAAGCTTACCAAGATTTAGTGTAGCAGGATGTAGTGTACATACTCAACGCAACTATTTTGGTTTCATCCCAACTCACTGAAACAGCTATCCCATTCGTATTTATTGCGAGCCCGAAGAAGGGAGCTGCTTGAGTACAAGGTACGTGGGTATACGTAGCTTAGTTCACTTCGATCTACTGAATTACTTACAATCAAAGGGCGAGTTCCGGAGCTTGCTTTTCCAATCTTAAGGTAAGCTTCAAAACACGGGTACAGTAAGTCTATTGTGATCCCTGAGAACATGATATCTTGCTATATTTCGTGAGATGTTGACCTACCAGTTCCGCTTCTATGTAAACCAAATAAATCAAAGACATTGATAGACTCACTTCCTTTTTGGTTAGATTCTCTTCCTTTTCCTTTCGTTGAGTAAGCATGTGTAGCCATAAGTTGTAGTTGGTTAAATTTGGTGCTAATTATACCTATTTTCTCATTAGCACCATCGCAAGCCAAATTTGTAACAGGGTACGTCCGTTACATGATAGTTTACACAAGGTAAATATCAAGTACGAATATTATGTTGAGACAGACATAATTTTTCACAGTTTTAGCTTAGCGAGTAATGTTGTGATGTAGAAGCACTACACGATTCATGGGTTGATTTAGATTAGTGATATCAACCAGTAAAGTCGAGTCACGACAGATGAACGCAGTGAGTGGTGAGCATATACTCACGAATCGTGTTGTGTGTAGTTATAACATTGAAAGAGTGTTAATTAGCAAGAGATTATCTTAAAGACAGGGGAGCAAGCTCTAGGGCTCGCCCATTAAGTAAGCAATTCGGTTTATACATCTATGTCAACATGCAGGACAAAAAAAACAGCAGTAGTCACTGAACATTGAGTGAGATGCTGTTAGTGTTTTAATTTTTCTGGAAGTATACCTAAGTTACACAATCACCCTTTGCTTATCAGCGTCCAGTGTTCGCTGACAAATTTATGTTCACCTTTGATTGATTATGAGTCAATCACGTGGGCGTGTCACAATGGTGACCTACCCAAAGAGTGACCTGTATCTGAGAGAAAAGGACAGGATTGGTCGCACCTAATAGGGACAAGGTAGACCTAACCGCGTTTTTTAGACACAAGGGCAGAAATTCCGATTTATAAGTTCGGCTGTCACCTTGCGCACAGGCATTGATAATTTCACCCTTCGGGCTGGTAATCAACATAAAAAATCGATGGAAACAAGAAAACATAGAAAGATGGAAATGACAGTGGTGGTGGCAATAATTAAGGGCATTTTCATGCACATTTGTAGATCAGCAGACACAGTGATATTGATGTCACACGACGAAGGAAATATGGCCGTATAGAATAATCACAAAGTGTTGCATCGTGTTGCTGTTATTGTGATTCGCTTTTTTGAAATATGAAACGATACTGCACTTTGATACTCTTATTCTTATGGACATAAGTTTATGTCCATATCTAAAACAGAAAACTGCTCGTTTATGTGTAATGACTTCCGCAACTTTATGTAACTATCTTAAATAGAAAACTGCTCGTTTACGTGAAATGACTTCCGCTCGTGGTTTGGTCAAATTTATGTATCAAAGGAGGAGTTTAGCATCCATCCCCCTCACAATAAATATTCACCCCCTCATATATACGATGATTAGGCTGGTCAATAAAAGGATTGCTGTTAGGAATTTCCTAAAATTTTGTTGAAGTGTTGCTCTGCTTTCCCGTCTCAGAACATATTTTCAAGTGTCGTTTTCCATCTTGCCACAGAGAAATTCTACAAGATTGCTAGAAACTGTTTTCAATTTAGAATGATTCATATCCAAGCCAAAGAGTCACATAGTAGCTACTTTTGTAACCAGTGAGCATAGTACACTGGTTCTAACGGACGGATGATCACGTCATGAATACATTTCTTTCACTCGCTCTTACCAGTATTACAAGCATACCGAAGCGTGATATTTCTCTGGGATGGTGCTATTTCAAGACGTTTTAAATTTTTAACACAAAGCTACGAATAGAGGGGTCACAGATCAAACTTTTAATCGAAAAGAAAGCGGGCTTTTAAGGGACCTAAGAATGTAAACACGACGCGCAAAGTTTCCTGCATCCTTGCATCAGTACGAGATAAAGTTTGCTTGTCTGGTCCAGAAGTAGCACTTGACAAATCACTCGGCTCTACCAAAACCAAGGAATTCGTCTAGATTGCTCTGTTATTTCAGTGCCCCGAAAAAAATATGCACCGCTCGACACATGCCAAATTTTACGACTACCATGAGGATACTCCACGAATGAAAAACATGGCACAATCAGTACCTTCATGATAAGCTTTTCGTATTGATATTGTAGCAGGTACTTAGGAAAATCGCAATTATTTGATTGGCTTTGTTTTCTGACCCCATATACCTCACAAGTGGCACCACGATCAGGTCTAATTGCCTTGTCGTGTCGTTAGTATAGCTACATGCTATCCTGGCTGTTTCGATCCTCGTTCATTCACTTAAAAGGTGACGGATATAGTTACTTCTTTACTTCTTTAGTCTACCGGATGTCGTTATGTGATGTTTTATTCGCATAAAAAGAGCGTTCTACTTGACCTACTCGAGACTTTGCAACTCACATCGGAAGAGCTTACGATATCTATTCGTTCAATAGTCTTACTGAAACCAGGCGGATATGAAAACCTTTTACCCCTATTTAAAACCTTTTCACAGCGCTTATGGCCCCAACGAACTTGTAGAAGATTAGTTCACCCGATTGTCAAACGTCTATCCCGGAAAAATTACAGTCGAAGCTTCCACGGCATACTAAGGTAAAGCAGTGAGCCTAGTGGAATGAAGACGTCGAGGGCATGTTTATGGGCTTAGCTGCTCACAGCTCACGAGTTTGCAGCTCACGTTGACTTGACTGTAGCAATGGTATGAGATAGTTTGAGGAATGCATCCATGACGCGTGCATCTGTCCGTGCAAACTAGAATCAGACGGGATGAGCCTGTTGTATGTCATTAACCCTTAATACTTGAAACTTTAATTATTATCGTGAAGATTGATAATGCTCGTGAATGTTACAAAAAGGGTAAAATTCAGAACACCTACCGATTGGCTCATATGGGTCATCAAATCAACCATCATACGCGTTACGATCAACAATGAATGCGCAATAAGTGGTGAGCAAGACTTTAGCATACACTTTTGTGGATACAAATAATCTAGTAAGGACTAAACATAGGTACATGCATTTAGGACTTTTTATATTCAAAACAGTTTTACTTTCTACTCCTACAGAACGCTTCGTTCATTAGCTAGCCTTCCTCTGCACGTACAGTGCACGTGAATTGACTCGCGGCACTACCTACACTGTTGTAAGCGAAGGTGCACTAGTACTAAAGCAGTGCTAGTGACGAGTGCCCCGTTACAACCAAGCTTAGAAAGCAAAAAATTTCACGAAGTAAGGACCTAAATTCATAGTCTTTCAATTTTTGTTCAACCACCCTCGTCTTTTAAATGGATACAAAGCAACAATTTAAAAAAATATGATTATGGGAAATACACGATCCTGGTTTCCCCTTTTGAAAGTCGTTGGTTGCTTCTGCTAATTTCATTAGCAAATACCTACTTGAATGGTTTTGATCCTATCATGACATCTGTTGAAACCCATTAAATTTCTAAAGTATCGCGCATTTAACCGCACTGATCATGCTTCAATTTTAGATTTCTTTATCTTTAATTTATCATTCGTCATCATGTTTACCACTATAGCGATCATGGTACTTTTTTTTGGAATCTTCGGTCGTCTATTGCTAATCTGGTGAGTATTAGTCTTTACATGACAACACCTTATCTTGGTGACGGACAAGACAAGCGTCATAACATGATTTTTGGCATGCTATATGCTGCATGACTTTGTATAGTAGAGAGATTGGTCTTTTTAGGTATACTTGATTTATTCTTGTTACTATTTTCTGCGCATCACTAATACGCCAGATTTCGAAATTAGTACTTTTAACTGGAAGAGCACCCTTCAACCCGTTAAAAATTCCCGGCTTTACACGATAGATGCAACATAAAATAACTAGGTCTGCAAAAGAGAACCGTAGGCTAGTGTAGCAAATGCTCGACAGTTGGGAAAATGAAAAGCTCCAATTTTTCGCAAACAGAAGATGTGAATAATATTGCTCGAAATCTTACTAATAGGCATGATGCCCCTCGATATTAGTCCAATGCTTTCGCGCACAAAGTGTGCGGCAATTTGCCGCACATTTTTTGAAATTGATTAAAAGAGTATGATTTAGCTATGAAAAGGTTTACGTCAAGCTTAAATTAGGCAAAAGGTGAAACTACCGTAAGCTTTAATTTAGTGCGCTAAAACGAATGGTTTAAAAAATAACTACACATATGATCTGCAAAGTCAGGCGTAAATTTGGACACATTTCCAACCCGTTACTTTTGCCGACCATTCATTCCCCTTTTTAATGATTTTTTTTGCTCAGAGTCTGTTTTTAAACTCAGCTGCAGCACATATGTTTAAATTGAACACCAATTAATTTAGTGCGTTGGAACCACTTAATTTTTACTTTTAATCATATTGTCTGACTGCTTTCATAAACACCCCAAGTCCGTTCAGATGCAATTCTTGCCAATTTAATAAATTTTAAACATGATTCAAAATCTATGGTATCGATTATTAGTACTCAAGTCTGCACGCGTGCCCTTCTAAAGAAGTCACGTCAAGCATTATTCAAAACAGCA